TCCTGGTATACTGTTTCTTTCAGAGATGTATTTATCCCAACTAGAAAGCAGCTGTTGTCTTTAGTTTTATAATATGTTTCAACTTTTTTTGCAGAAGTTTTCTCATCATGTTTTCCTGTATGTATTTTTTGACAGTATGTTGCATTCTACATTGTTTCGTACAAAACCAGCGTGTTTGTAACAGTTAAAAATTTTCCCTTGCTTGAGTTGGCTTGAGGCATCTTGGATCATTAGAATAGCATCAAGAACAGTGATATTTGGGTACTCATCACTATTGCTTCCGCAGCCATCTAGAAACTAGATCATTTTCAGGACAAGGTTTTTACGAAAATGTGCTTTTAAAGCTAGAATTATCCCTTTATCCATGAGTTGCAACACTGATGTCGTGTTTGGAGGCAAAAACACCAGGGTTATGCCCTGGTCAGTTGTTAACTGACAGCAGGATTTTCTTGTTCTTTTTCGTAAGTTCACGATCCCATGCACGTAACCATTTGGTAAAAATGTCAGCTGTCATCCAGGCTTTTCAATTGCTCTCATAATACACTGGCAAATGCCGTAAATTTGTAAAACCTCGGTGACGTACAGATTTTCCGATTATGAGAAGTTTTTTTTAACTGTATCACTCATGTTGGCTATCACCACCACAGTTATTCTCTCGTTTGATAATTTTCCTCCTATGCATTTTTACCCATGAATTTCAACGTTTTGTCCGGGGTTAATTTATAGAACAGCCTGGTCTCATCTGCATTAAAAATTTCATCATCCCTAAATTGCGCCTGTAGTGTTGGCCAAACTTTTTCTAACCAATCAATTACATCACTCTGTTGAACTGACAATCTTACCACTGACGATGTTGTATCTTACTTTAAAACTGTTTATCCAACTCATAGAACATATGAAATTTTGCATGTCTAACTGTCTATCAAAAAAATTTGCTTTCTCTTGTATCATAGATCGATTAACGGGTATTCCCCGTTCGCACTGAAGCTTGAACCACTGTAACAATGCTTCAATTTCAACTGCCCATGAATAGGAGTCTCTACACTTCAAATTCAACTGCCCATGAGTAGAAGTCTCTACACGTTGGCATTTCAAAACATTCATTATTCTTCTTGATTGTGGATATTGTAGAATGAGATACGCAATGTTTTAACCGGACGTATTATCAAAAATGGCCGCTAAAAGCAGTTGGTCGCCTAAACTGGACTTGCACTAAACAGTTATATTTTTCAATACCTAAGTATGAAACTCAAGTTGAGTAAACATTATCGTCGCTAAAAACCGTTAGTAGATTAGTCGTTAAAAGCAAAGTCGTTATATATGAATATTTTTGAGAATTTTTGAAGGAATCCTCATTTGCATTATTATGGTTTTCAGTCTTTGAGTAAAGTCATATTTCATTTATTTGCAGGTCCTCAACCAGAACTTTCAAAGTGGCATGATCTCAAACAGTACTTCTCAGGCAGCTACAGCACAAACTAGTATACCATTCAATTCCTTTATAACCCCCAATTTCACCATTAACAATGGTCTCATGCTTCAGAGAAGCGGCGGTTTCAAATTGACCATGGGGGAGGACGGTCGTTTGGTACTACAACATGACCCTACTTTGAATCAAGATATCCAGTCCCAAATAATACTACAAAGTTTACTTGGTGGATTAGTTCTGCAACCTTCAATGGATCAGCAAACGGTGCAACAAACAGTACAAACTATCCAGCAACAATCGGTACAGACTATTCAACAGCAGACAGTGCAGAGTCAAACTATTCAGACAGTTCAACAACAGACTGTGCAACCACAAACAGTCCAACATACCATCCAGTCACTACAACCACAGATACAGCAGCAGACTGTACAGCAAACAATTCAGCATCAGACTGTTAATGCTTTACAACAGCCAATGCAAATAGTACAACCTCAACCTATTCATAGCATCCATTCTCAAGTGCAACCGATGCATTCAATTTCACAGTCACAAGTTCACAGCTTACAGTCCCAGATACAAGGACAAATACAAAGTTTGCTACAACAACAGAATCATGCTGTACAAACACAAACTGTGCAACATTCTCACCTACAACCACATAATGTGCATTCACAGTCTCTGCAGAGTGTTCAAAATTTACAGAATGTTCAGAGTATTCAGCAAAATGTCCAAGGAATTCAGCAGAATGTTCAAGGTATGCAGCAGAATGTACAGAGTGTCCAACAAAACGTGCAAAGTGTACAACAGAATTTGCAAAGTGTACAGCAGAATGTCCAAAGCTTACAACAAAATGTGCAAAGTGTGCAACAAAATGTACAAAATCTGCAACAAAACATGCAGAGTGTTCAACAAAATGTTCAGAGTGGACAGCAACAGCCAATTCAGTCCCCTCTACATTCAGCTCAGCATTTTAACACCAATCAGTCGCATACTCAGAATCAACCTGTGTTAAAGGTTCAACCGTTTATGAAATCTCAACCACCTGTTCAATCAGTGCAACCAATTCAACATCATAATATAAGTCACCAGCACCAACAGTCACAGCAGCACCAGCAGCAACATCAACAATCATCTAATACTAATGAAAATCAGCAGACTCAAAACAACCCTCCCCCTACTTCTTATGTTGTTAATTTGACCCCAGATCAGTTGGAACAATTGAAACGAAATGGACAGTTGACAGTTAATGGACAAACAATTTTCATGCAACGCCCTAACAAAGAACAGATTGAAAAAAAATTGTCACCAAAATGTAAGCCTGTGAAAAAAGTAAATAAAATCCAAAGTATAAAAAGCATTTTACAAGATAATGTGAATGATTCAGTCAAAACTAGCAATAACACTGAACATATTAAAGAAAGTGTTGGTAAATCTTTAGTTAGTGCCTTAAATGCACCCCCAAAGCACATACTACCTCAAAACCATGTTCAACCCCAGCCTGTTGCACAAAATAAGCCCTCACATCCCCAAGCCATGGTGCAGCCTCAAGCAATGGTTCAACCTCAAGCAATGGTACAACCATCGGTGCAGATTCAGCCTAAAGTCTTACCAGAACGTTCCAAACAATTGCCAGTTTCTCCTCAAATACCTAAGCAGCAGAAAGTTGCTCCCACAGTTATATCTCAGGACTCTAATGGAAGCAATACCAATCCGGAAGTTGATAAGCTTTTGGGTCAGATTCTGGAAGATACGAGCAGTGCTAGTCCTAGTGGTGGTAGAGTTACACCTAGTACTCCACAGCCTCAGCAAAGGATAACTACCATACAATTGACCCCACAAAAACAGCAACTCCTTAAGAACATTCAGATCCAGATCCAGACGTTATCTGCCAGGATCACACCGGGTGATTCTGAAGTTCAAAACACTCTGAAGTTATTGTTTGCAGAACAACAAAAGATCTTAGCTTCTGGTAAACTTTTGCCACCAGATAAAGTGTACTACCACAATAATCAACTCACCATTGTGAATCCGTCCACTTTGAACTTATCACCTCCAGTCCAAGTGAAGAACGAGCCCTTGCAGAGTCCCAGTGCCGTAGCTGTTTTGAGCAATAGTCAAAGTGTGGTGAGGACTACCAGTATCGAAACTCAGTCTACTAATACTAGTCAGGTAAACATTTTGAAAAATTTTAGTAATTCATAGTATTACTATACTATATAGACAATTGTAATTCTAACAGCAAATCACATTTAGTGTTTTTCATCTATATTATTCACAAATCAATCCAGACTCCGGTTAACTAGACTAGATTCCTCAATAGACCCTCAAGGCAGATCAAAGTTCTGAATTTGCCTTTGTATGCAATTAGTAAAATATATTGACAGATATGAATGCACTCGGACCCTTCAGAATCGTGTTGATTTTTTTCAAACTCTTCTATTTGAATTTACTAACCATATATGCATATTTCAAGTTGAGTTAATTTGCTCTCATCGGTATGCCAAGTGCTAAGTTGATGCTATGTTGATTATTGTAAGCAGTGAAGTACACGTCATATGGGATTTTTTTATTAATATCTTTATTTGAAATTTGTCTATGCCATCAAATTCTGCTTCCATCGAGATGAAAAATAACCAAAAAAAAAAAATGAAGTGATGCGATTCCCAGTATCTGTCAAATTTAAATTTTTGTACAATAAAGTCCATAATGGGTTATTTCACAAAATTTTGAAAAAAAATTAAAAAGGTTTTTCTAAATGTAATATTCAAGCCATTTGTAAAATTCCAGCAGCATAAAGATAACTTGCTTCTCTTCTGTGTGTGCTGTGTAATGTGTTTAGATATATCAAAACTGGGACTTCCCAAATGAAAAAACATGCATCCTTGGTGTTCGATTAGGCACTACCACTTCTTAATATTTCTGTATTCCATATCGCTTTCAGAGTCACCACTACTATAATTATGTTTGAGAGATTTAGGAAAGGGTCATGCTCAGTAGGTTTGGTGATACTTGGGCCTCAAAATATTCTCTTGGAGTCGTTTCACTTTTTTCAATTATACCCGTGAAATTCTTTGAGCGATTTTTCTACTTTCTACATGCTTTATTATGTGATCTTGTAGTATTTTGTCCATCCTAGTATCACTTTCATTGAAGTTATATTTCTCTTTGTCATGCAGCAGATCATACCACAATATATTAGTTTCTGAGCAATTAAATCACCCTTTCATAGGTCAAGGGTAGTTTGTTGATATTACATTTACCGCCACATGCACCAAGTAATTTATGTAACATGACAAAATAAATTACATTTGTTGAAATAAAAAACAGATTTTATAGAAACCGTATACAAATTTACGACCTCTGTTCCACTTTTTTGTATGGCGTTTGGTTAGAAAAGATCTCAGTCCTAATTAGCACCTGTATTTATTAAAGCTGTACAAGATTTTTTCACAGCATACTCTCCACTAATTTTTTTTTCATTTTTCCAGTATTTAAATTTTGAACCATTTAAATCACATTAGGCTGATACTCATTTATTACACAATCATAACAATCATACATTTTCAAGAATTACAAAACATAATATAATAAACAATGCCCAATTTGGCCTTCAATCATGTAAGAATACTAGCGATGCTATCTTTGACTTCTTGGAAGAGCTATATTTAGGCCTAAATGAAGGCGAGGCGGCCGCTGCAGTATTCTGTGATTTTTCTAAGGCCTTTGACTGTGTAGATGACAGAATATTGCTGAAGAAATTATTTCTTTATGGTTTCAGAGGGCCAACCCTCGAATGGTTCAGCTCTTTTCTCTCTGACAGAAATCAAATTGTCAAGGTAGGAAATAAAACATCCAGTCTCCAAAATATGCCTTGGAGTTCCTCAAGGATCTGTTCTAGGTCCTATCTTATTTCTCCTATATGTGAATGATCTTCCTAACATCAATATTGATGGTAAAATTACACTATTTGCAGATGACACCACTTTATTGTGGCGTGGAAAGGATTTGGTTTCCTTGAAGAGTACCATTAAAGCTGATTTAGAAAAAATTAAGTATTGGTGTGACTCAAACTCACTATGTTTTAACTTCAGCAAAACTAATATTCCATCATTTAAATTTGTGCATGGAAATTTCTGCCTTCAAACTCATATGATAGAAAATAAACAATCTGCTAAATTCTTGGGAATTTGGATTGATAACTTTCTGAAATTTGAAGATCATATAAAATATCTGAACAAAAAACTTTCATCTAGCTGTTATGCCATTAGAGTTATCACTAAAGAACTGGGAGCAACTGCTGGTAAAACTGCGTACTACGCTTTAATCGAATCTCACTTGAGATATGGTGTCGCCTTCTGGGGGTTTTGTAGCAAACAGTTTCTACAGTCTGTTTTCGTTTTGCAAAAAAGAGCAGTGAAATTCATCTAAAAAGCCAATATTAGGGACCATTGCAAACCCCTATTTATCAATAATAAATTACTGACTACTCTGCATTTTTATCTTGGAAACAGTAAGTCTCATATTTAAAAGAAGAGAATGCTATAGATCAGAAAATACCTACTTTACCCGTCAAATTCACGACATACCTCTGCCTATTCCAATAACAATATAATATGTGTATGTATATATATGTGTATGTTATTTTGTGTAATAGTATTGTTTTCATATGCTTTGTCAATAAGATTTTTTTCTTAGACAATAAAGTACAGTGATTGATTGATTGATTGATTGATTGATTGATTGATTATAACTCCCAAAAATTTAGAATGGACTTGGGTCTAGATGGCTTGTTCTCGAAAATCCTGTTTCAAAATCACCAAATTGGTCTGTTCATCTGGTGAGATTTCGTTTTCGAAGTCCATAAAATGAAACTTCTTATCAAATTTTTTGCACCTCTTTTCCAGTTTGTGGATTCATTATTATTATCTTGGGAACAGCTGTGCTATAATTTTGTTGAAAATTTTCACAATTGTTATAATAAATGTGTATGGTTTTAAATTTAACACTTTCAACTCAAATATATTCTGGATGTTTTGTGATTTTTTTCAACTTAAGACAAGTCGATTAATTCTGTCAGCATAAAAACTATGTGCTTGTGATTCGATGAAGTCGACGAAAGCCGTTTTTGTCTTGTCCTGATTGACGAAGGTTCTACCTGTGATAAAGTTGTCTAAGTGCTTAAAAATATGGTAGTGGGTTGGCGAGAGGTCTGGGGAGTATGGTGAGTGAGACAAAACTTTGATGCTCAATTCGTTTAATTTGTGGAGGGTGATTTGTGAAATGTGCGGACGGACTTTATCGTGGAGCAGGATCGGAACTCTTCTGTTGCAGGCTGCTGCTGACGCAATTTTCAATACATTTCGTTGATTTTCTCACAATAGGGCTCTGTTTATTGTTCATCTTAATCTTCTGTTATTAATTAGGTTCGTTCCAACCAGCGTCAGAAACAGTTTCTGATAGTCAGGATTCTGCGCAGTAATGTGATTGCGTTCCAACGTGAGTTTCCAACCATTAGTAAACTATCAGTTTTCTGTTCCATCCAAGATTCAAACCTGTTCGAAATCTATCAGAATGGTTTGAGGATTATCTTCTAACCATCAATCTGACGCATGCGTATTCCGTATTACTGTTTCTGTTTTATGTTCATGCAACGTACAAACAACATAACCTGCAAAAATTGTTATAAAATAAATTATGTATTTGCTGGCGCAGGAAAAATTGGTAATTCTTTAAGTGAACCTATAATATGAACATCTTTAATTACAGAAATTAATTATTGCGGTGACCTCCCAGTTCCATGTTGATAAGTAAATAGAATAAAGATATAAAATATTGCAACCTTCTTTAACTCTCCAGAAATACACTTGAATAGACTTATTTTTAAAAAATTGAAGGGGTTATATTTTTAGGAGTGACATTCTTTGTGGAATGTTTGAAATACAAACTGAGTAGAGAAAAGTATCTTCTGTATAATTCAGTGTTCATTTAGAAGTATTTGTTTCGAAAGAATTTTTTTTTCTTTCGTGTAATTCAATGTTTATATGAAAGTAGCTGTTTCAGGAGGACATTCTTTCAGTTTGTGTCTGAAAGTTACTTCTTTGCATGATCTACACATCCATGTATAGAGTTACTTATTTTCAAATTGATTACTTCCTTCCTTTCTTTGGAAGATTCCCTCATCCCCTTTTTTTGTATTAAGATGGAGTAGTAGAAAGCCAAAAACTTTCTTTCCCAAATTATTTTTAAAGGTTATGTTGAAATTCCATGCCAAACTTCAGTTGAACTATCAGCTGTTCCAATCAGAAATTTCAAATTAATCAGAAACCAATATTTACCAGACATGCGCGTTGTCAACGATTTACAAACAGTTGGAAATCTGTTTGTGACTCAAGGTTGGAACGAACCTATTGTAATCTTTCACCTGATTCTTTGTGTCATTTTTTCTAATTGCACCCTTATCTGTATTCTGTTTATTAACGGCATGTTGGAAAAAATCCATTGATAGATTGTGGAATCCTACCATCTGGATACAAAAGTATGTCAATTAGTGCCTGTCTTTTTTGTTTACTGTTTTTATTTCTAATTTCCGTACTTTGAGTATAATATCTTTTTGAACTCGAGTTATTTTCTTCAAAAACTTTTCGTCACACTTCAATTGTTATTTTATTATTGGTTTCATAGATGGTTTTGAAGGCAGGAAATTCATTAGCTTGTTAGGTGAAAATTTGTTTTTCTTCAGAAAAGAATAATGCGGACTTAGAAAAGAAATACTGTCATAGGTAATTTTCTCCCTGGCATTTTTTTGTTGTTCATATTCACACGTTTTGTTATTGGATTTGTGTTACTTACAGGCACAAAAAAGACTTGCTGAACAGTTTTCATACTCCTACTCTTTTTAATGATTTCCTGTGCAGGAGAATATTTTGTTTTACTTCTACAATATTTCTTAATGTGGCCATATAGTAAACAATTAAAGCACTGCGAAATGGGAAGTATATAAGGAGTCGTTGAATCACATATCATTCACAGGTCAAATTTCACTTACATTGAACACTGCCATCCTCAACGGATGACTGCCATCCTCAACGGATGACTGCCATCCACAATTTATGTGTAGATTTCCTTCTTTTTTTACTAGTCTGATAAATTTTATACACATGTATATGTGTGGGTAAAACCTTTAAGCTGTGTTTAGAAAGAATGACCCCGTTTTCTACAAAAATTATTTTACAAGAATTTCAATTAAAAGTTGATAAAAAGTGATTTCTTTCTCATTGACTTGCCATTCATTAACTTGAAACATCATTTCTCAATATCTGCCACATTGAATTTACAAAAGTAGATAACGTTGAAAAGAGAACTCCTTCACCTTTTGAACGAGTTATTTGGACCCCAGATCTCATTCAAGAATTAAGGGTTAGATAACATTTTTATATGTCAGTTTTACGACTTGTAGTTTTCTCTCTTTTCATAATGAATTAATTAACCAATACTTAATGAAAATAGATGATAAATGTATTTGATAGCAAAAAATAGTTGAAACTTGTGTGAGCTAAGGATTAACGAGGTCTTTCAACGTGAATTTCATATTTTTACATAGATTTGAATAGCTGCGGGAATCCAAGATATTAATTTTTCACAGTAATTGTTTGAGTTAGGGTCAAGTATCATCATCTTTCTATTCAACTTCAGTTACTTATATAATTTTTTCTAGTCATTCTTTTAGATTTTATAGGGACGGGTAAAATGAAAAGTGAGGTTAATTGTTCCTCTGTTTACGACCAACTACATTTTCTTCTGAAGTGTTCAATTGATTCAAAGTTCAACTCAATACACTCCAACCTACACTTTTTCAGAAGTTTTCAAGTCCACTGTATTTTTTTTGCACAGGCATAGTGCTCAGGATGTATAAGTATTCCTTCATTAAACAAAAAATCGCAAAAAACGTGGTTGGATATCACTTAACCTTTCATAGGAAATTATCTTAACGATTTTATAATTATTAGCCTATCTTTGAAACCGACTATATCATCTGCTATTATGTAATTACTCCTGTTATTGTTAGTGCTATTTACAATGCAGAACACAAATCAATTGGTGATACCACTGAAATGACATCTAATTTATGAATTGATTCAAATGATGACAGAAAAGTGTACTGTAAAAATCTCATACTAATATCTAGTGTTTACTACCTTGAGTTGAAATTATATATTGTTATCAGCTGATAAGATAAATTGCCAGTTCATTAAAATGATTATTTACTTAACAAATTTGCCACCATGTAGTGTGACACAAACCTGAATTTGTCTTGTAGTGACGTCATGATGTATAATCATAACTGGGATTTCCATTTTGATGAATTTATTTATCACCATTGTTCAGTGAGTTTATGTTTTTTATTTTCACATGGTTGTGGTATTCCATACTTTCCATACTTTCATAGAATCCCATGAGAAATTTAAAACTTATTAGCAGAGAAATGTACATTAAATCAGGAAATACATGTTTAATTTTTCATAACTTCCAAGAAAATGATGCTAGTAATGCTTTTTGAATTATATTGATTTTTTTAAAATATTTAACAATACTGTTATGACCTCAGTGAAATAAACTTCCTTCAAAGATATATAAAGATATATTTTTTTTATTTACAAGTGTTAATAATTATCTAGTCCAAAACATAATGATTAGTATAGTTGATAGAACATCAACTTTTGACAAAATTTTAAATATTGTTTTGAAAACGCTTTTTACTACCTATAAAGTTGACAGAAATATGATGCTTCTGGTGTCTGGTATATCCATATTCATCAAATGGTTATGCTAGACAAGGATCACTTGAAGGCACCGTTTTGGCAAGGAAATAGATGATATGTGGTCTTCAAGGTGATTCTGTATTTGGGATTAGGAATTAATTGCTTCTTGACTAGCACACTCAGGAATTTGCTACACTTCTCTTGATAATTCATATCAACAAAGTCTCTTCAAACTTCCAGAGTTATGTGCAGTTTAATTTGCTCATGCTCTCATAGCTCGACTCAGAATGATTTGAACTGCTTGAATTTTTAAGGGTGCTCAAGCATTTTTCCAGAAGAGTTTCACCTGATCTTCTACTATTATTGTTTCGTCTAAAAAGAGGTTACTTGATACTTATTCGAAAGGCAGCAAGCCTTTATTAACTTATCGCTCCCCAAAAAACGATCGATCTAGGTTTGACTTGATAAGACAATTTATTATAATTACCCACTAAGGTTTCTGCCCTTTTTCAACAAGTCGGTATAATCTTGAGAGTCGGGAAAGCATTATCTACAATTGGCTTGTATGTAAATTATCTAAAGAAAAACATTTGCTTGAATCCTAATTCGAAACCAGAACCTGTCAGCTGACATGATTAACAATAACCTCAGAGAAGTGAAGCCGGCACAGCATTGTTATTATTTTACTTCCACTACTTATTTCAATGAAATATTTTATGAACACCGTATTATCCACATTTAGTGAATACATCTTCTGAAGCGAAAGAAGGTTGAAGGATTTTTTTGTAATTTATTTTAATTACTAATGTACTGTTTTTATAATTTCAGCCTGTAACGACTCAAGCTCACACAGTACCGAGAATATCAGTGTCAGTACCTCCCAGTGAAACTATTGCAACTCAAACAATACATCACCATCCGCAGCCATTACTCCATTCTCATTCCCACACTCATCATCATAACAATCACCATCATAGTCACCTTAATCATCATCAATCCACACAGCAGTCACCTTCCAGTCATCAAATAACAAACCTTCCTATCCCCTCTCTTCCCAGCATTGCCACACATCCATCTATAACTCCTCATCTTCCAATAACCACTCATTCGTCTTCAGTTGCTCATCATCCTATCAATACCCATTCAATATCCACGCAACAAATTCAACATCACAATAGTCTACCAACTAGCCATCATCAGAGTCACCTGCAGGTCAGCCACCCCAATCATGTGATTAACCAAAGATGTTCTCAACCAGTGAGCCAATCCAATATTCAACTTCAACAGCATTTGCAGCATCAACATCAGCAACAGCAGCATCAACAACAACAGTTGGCAAAAAAAGCACATTTGTAAGTAACATTAGTAGGACAGTATAGCTTAGAATAATGATAACACTAACAAATCATATTGCTTCTAAAACTTTTCATCATGCCCTAATGAAGATCATCTGGTAAGAATACCAAGAAGGGTTAGAAAGGCATCACTAGAATAAAGCTCAAGTTTTGAAACCCTGTACACAATGTGTGTGAATAGACGATACATGTCAAAACATGTTATTAGTGACTGATTGTGTTTTTTGCAAAATCTTATGCATTTCAACGATCTATTACTAGTAACGAAAGCTTTATAGTTTCCTGCATGACACTTTACCTGATACACCTTTCAAGCAAAACGTAACATTGATTAATTTTTTTTTCAACTCACTTTTACATTGAACTTCAACTTATTTTTCATGGTGGTATTTATTATTCAATAGAGAAGTCTAACTTTTTCCAAAAAAATCCTTTTTTATAAAAATACATCGAAATAATATCATCAATTACTCTTTTTCATAATAATTCTTTGCTTCGAATGGTCACTTAATAATTATTGTAAATTATATCATTTTTGATAATTAACGAAAGTAATTTTTTGTGGAGGAAAATCAAGAGTTTTTATTGGCCTTCCTCGGTGGTTGCATCTTTCACAATTCAAAAAATATGAAAATTGTAATGGAGAACCAAATTACACATGTAGAAAGGGCAACTTTTCAGTTCACCTCGATAAGTTACTGTGTAAATTCAAATACCCAAAGAAGGTTGATAAAAACTATATCTATTTTTTAATTTCTTACTATCAAGTGTTTTTTTTTCAGAATTGAGACTCAGTTGAATTTGGACCAAAATGGAGCAGTGAAACCTGATATCCACACACCATTCAGAGACAAGAAAGATGCATGCATTAGATTGATACGATATCACTGTTTGGACCAACCAGTTCTATCGGAGAAAGATTTGGATAAAGCTGATGAAATTTTTGAATTAACTGCCCAACACTTTATTGGAAAATTTGCTAAAATGAAGGATAAATACAAATATTTGTTGATGAAAGAAAGTATGGTAAGTAAAGTTTTATGTACATATCTGATTGTATTTTTCAGCATTCATAAAAATCATTGCAATGATCCTTATTAATTTCCAATTGAGATCTGAAATTGGGTTCACTCCATTGTTAATAAGTTTTATTCAAGTAATACTTTATTTACAGATTTTCAATGAACAATTTTCAAAACTGCAACTAGCCAGCATCAATTTGATCAAATAAATTGATGGATGTAGCTGTTACTACGTGGTAAATCATTAAAAATGAGAAATGGAACTTTCATTGTTTTTTTACCACTTTTATTTGTAAGTTATGTTACTGCCGTTTCGTCCTATAAGGAAATTTTCTTTATAGTTCATACTGGAACCTTTGGATCAGATGAATCTATAGAAAACAGTTTCCCAATACCAGAAAAACAGGAGATCATTATGATTAACTTTTACTAGTATGTTAGTGTTTTTATATGCCAGTGGCCTAACTACTACCTGTTGGTAGTACCTAACTGGTATCGATTAGTATTAATTAACTCTACCTGTTATGGTTCCTACGCTAAACAACCTTTTTTTAATACCTCTAATTTGTTATGTATTTCCTCTATGTTAGTGACTATCCCCTACATTTTTTTCCTAATATTTAGGTTTTTATATAGAATTATTACGTATAAGACCAAACATAGGGTTATTCGAAATAGGACATTTGTTGTTGCTCATAGAACTCATTTCATACTTTTCGATTTCCAAGCTTTCAAAGGCATCCAGAAACCAGTTGTCATGTACCGGTCTCAACAATTTCAAACATTTTCCACTTACTCTGTAGTCGTTCTCTATGGCATGTTGAGCAACACTAGATTTCTCTGGTCTATGACACCGAACATGTGAAACAAATTCCTTGTAGCAAGCAAATATAGAGTCCATTGATTTGATCAACATATTTCTTATCACAATTCTCGCAGCTTATTTCCTAAATACCATTTTTTTTTCCAACATCTTGTCTTTCCGACTGCCCAACACTTGTTGAATTGTACATGCAGTTTTTAAAGCCACTCATATATTCAATTTTTTGAATGTTTGGACCAACCCATACGTGTATTTGGGTTTATATGGAAGCACTATAAATTTTGAATCTTCTTCTTTCCAAAAAGTCGAAGCGTTTACAACATCAAAACATGTATTTCACTATACAATAGCTTCCTCAGGCTAGTGCTTTATATAAATTTACAACTTTTAATTGTGTTTTATATAAAACACTAATTGGTAGAATTCAGTATGAATATGCTTAAGCAAGCTTTTGTTTTGTGAAACGTGTTGCAGTTTTATAAACTATTCAATGAAAATCTCAATAAAGTGTTACTTGAATACGTATCAAGCAATTCCACATGGGAAACTTATTTATTAAGGGTTTTTGACAAAATGTTATTCTTGATAAAAGTATGTGCATCCGCTAAAACTAAACATACACCAACAAAATACAGTAAAACACACGTAATATATGAGGAGCCTTCAAATATTTGATTTTGAGGCAGGAGTAAAGTACTCTCATTTGGAAAAATCTCCGTAAATGTTATTTAGAAAAGTTGTTCAGCATTAAAAAATACATCCATATTTGAGTCATGGCCATCTAAGTGAAATTTCATTTTTTGACCCATTTATTAAAAATGGGAACTACGGAAAAAAAATTTTTGCTATAAATAGACAGTATACTGTATACGTTTATTTTAATAGCCTGTAATATTACAAAATACACAACTATGGTGTTAACTACTGTCAATTTTTTGAAGAGTAAAATAATTTTCAAACATTTTTGGTGCAAAGTTATTTTTATTTTTTGTTAACACCGAAAATTATTCCAAATATTCAGTATTGTAACAAGAACTTATTCAATAATATCAAAACACGAAACATCATAATAATAATGATGATATCTTTATTTCTCAAATTAAAAAGTACAGTTGTTGCAAATAAGATCATTATACAGTTACCTGTGTTTAGTATGGATGTTCCCGAAATTCAGCAACTATTCAACTCGCACAACAGTAAAAACTAGAGCAATCGATGAATTGAACATTAAAATACCACTCTATAAGAAGAGCCATACACAAAGATTCGTGTTCTACCATGGTCCAAAATTGTACAACTTACTCCCAGTAGAATTGAAAATAATTGAAAAAATTAATAAATTCAAACACAATCTCAAGCGTTTCATTGTCGAAAACCCACAAAAATTTAATATATACTAAAAAAAAGTTTTCTACATTGAATAACCTAATCATCACCATTTTTTCTTATACAAGCATATACTCAACTTACATATACTTTTCTTTAAATTTTTTTTCTTTTTGTTTCCTCTGAGTTTGTCATAATATTATTATATTTATCCCATAGTATTTAATTCTATGAAATGTATGTACAGAACTCTCATCTGAATGAGTAATACAACACAATACAGGCATTTTAATGTCTAGGTGAAAATTACTCATTCAAGATTATTGAAATTCAATAATTATTTATGTCATACAACAAATTGTATATTAACCAGGAAATAAAAATTACCTTTATTGCTAGTAGAATATACAGTGAGTTGAAAATCCTTCGAAAAACTCAATAATTGGCCATTATGATCAGACAAACCTAGTTCTAAAGTGGATATCGTATAATATTCGAAGTTGACAAAATTATTGTCCAGGCACCTACCCTTATTGTTTTGTACTCTGGTATTCTCAAAAACAACCTGATTCATACCTAAAGTTAGGAATAATTATTTAATTTTGTCTTTCCTAATATCACCATTGTCTAAGAAATTTACATTGAAGTCTCCAGCGCAGAGGATTTTTGTTTTTGTATTATTCTTATTATAGACTTCGACATATTCAAGTGCTTTTGATAATATATTTAAAAATTGTTCAATATTGTGTGTCACAGGTGATCTATAAACTGTAATTACAAATAAATTTAATTTTCTTATGTACCAATTCACAAAAAGGTCATGCAAAGAAGTAACTTTCAGACACAAACTGGAATAAAAAGCCCTTTCGAAATAGCTATTTTCATATCAATATTGAATTACACGAAAGAAAAATACTTTTGAAACAATTACTTTTACATGAACGCTGAATTATACGAAAAACACTTTTCTCTATTTCGTTTGTATTCCAGGTAATATATATAGTGTTTGTTTATGCGCAATTTTCTTTTGTTTGATATAGAATCTCACATTTGACCTGAACAATTTTGGGAAGTTAGATGTCCTAAATCTTTTTGGTGGTACAAACAACTCAATTGCCAGATTAACTATGTGATAAACATCTTTTAAAGCATCATTGACGTTAGGCCATATTAAGTGTTTCTTCCAGTCTGTACCAGAAAAAAAAATATTGCAATATTAAGAAGCATATTGTGAAGCATAAATCTAAAATTATTTATCCATTTATTGGGATGTTAATTTTCTGTCAGAAGTTGCTGCTAGATAGAGAGCATTAGAATTATTGGGGCAATTTACTGTTACATCTAATTCATTGTTTTTCCATAATGCTTCAGGAACATTAAAATCCCCATGAATATAAATATTGCGTTGCTGATAACTAAGAGCAATGTTTTTTACAAAACGATGTTCCTCATATATATACCTTTTCTGGAGAATGCAGAGGTATATACACTCCTCCTATAAAATATTTTTGTTCAAATTNGTTCCGATCTCAACGTTTCTGAGCTTAAAGTTATGGATCTGTGATTTTGGCAATAAATATTTATATGTTCACTTTGTTTTTTGAGATTTGGTTCATTTTGTTTATGACAATACAGGGGATTCCAAACTGATAACATATTGATATGTCTTGCTTTTTCTGTTGTTTGAGTTCTTGATACAGGTTTCTAATAAATTCACATTGGGATGGAGTTAGATCCTCACTTAGGCGAATGGGTTGATTGGTGATCCAATAATTTCCTTTCATTCTTCAGACAATTTAAAGCAGTTTTTTCATCTGGAAAAGATATTTTCATAGGACGAGATTTGTTACTAGGGCGACCTAATCGAAATATCTTAAATTCACTTGCACGTTTAATGAATTCAGGATATTTTTGCAATGTTGTTTATCAAATGATATTCTTTCAATGTGATCTTGGGATTGCGATTCTTGGACATTTTACATACTTATGTTTTTAGATCTGTTTGTCTTATTTTGGATTTAAATGTGTAGCACGTCAACATCTAGTTGTGTCAGTTTGTTTGATTATATATGTTTTTTTGAATTCACTGAATTCATTTTCTAAGGATTTGTTACTTTCGATGTCTTTCTCAAGATTCAATATACTTTGTTCGAGACGTTTATTTGATCCAATATTTCTTCCATCTAAAGGATTCTTTTTGCCAACATGATGAATTTTCCATTGAAGTTGGATGAATAATCTGGATGAAATTACCCTGGAAGATTCCTGAGGTGTCTCATAACGTATTCTGTGAATTTCAAGCTAGTCGTATTTTTCACAAAGGACTGCTGTCGGGGGAGGATTACACCCTCTTATCCCCTTTGCAAATGTACGAAACTGTTTGGAAATGATTGTAACCCTATATCTCAACACACCCTGTGAAATTCAAGTGGGCAGTATTTTTGTGAAGGGACTTTGTCATTTGGAAGAATTGCGCCCCCTCACCCCTTTTTGAAAATAGGTGAGAGTGCCTATAATATGCCTATAATATGCCCTATAATATGCCCTTTACGAATGGTTGAAATTATTAGGAAATGTTTGTAACATTGAAGGGGTTATATTTTTTAGGAGTGATTAATTTTTGGGAAAGAAAGTTTTTGGCTTTCTACTACTCCATCTTGATACAAAAAAAGAAGGATGAGGGAGTTTTCCAAAGAAAGGAAGGCAGTATTTTTATGAAGGGACTTGAATCATTTGGGGGGTACCCCACACCCTCTTTTCATTGCATATTTATGAAATTAACACGAAAGGTTCCCGAGATTATTACAACATAATCTGTGAATTTCAAGCTAGCGGTACCTTATAAGGAATTAATGTTTCATTTTATATTATTTGTGGGTTAATTACTTCCGTCATCTTCTTTGCAAATGAATAACACTGTCATAATAAGTGAATTTCAAGATTCAAGCACAGTATTTTCCAAAAGGATATGAGTCCGGATGTAATTATAACGAAGTGAATTATGTTCACCCCCTTCCCCGTTTTCAAATTGATAAAATCGACATGGAATATTTTTAAAGTGTCTACTAACATGACTTCTAAATTTCAAACTGGTAGTATTTGCCTGAAGGGATTTACGTTTTACTTTTATTTTTTTGTATCATAACGTTCATGTGAAGTTCTAGACAAGTTAAAAGGTAACACCTCGTTAATGGCTAAATCACACAAGTTTAGACTTCTGAGAGTTATCTTTCATAATGGCGTGACAGTTAGCTAACAAGAAAAACATCACATGGTGATGAATCATCAGTGTTTATTCAAACCCCTAACCACGGAAACGTTTGGAAATATAAGGTTTTCAGATTTGTAGCTTAATATTTTGCATTATTTGTTGATATCTTTTTACTCCTATTAAATTCACAGTTTTTCAACAGGAAGGAAGACCCCCTTTTTTTGTAAAACAAATTAAAAGAACTTATATTCATGGTTATAATTAGGTATAGTAAGAGTTGAGAATTAGTCTAGTTCATCTCCTGATGACGCTAATTCGGTTGGTGTGCTTGTTTGTGGTTGCCAGAGGTTCCAGTTATACCTTTCACATAAAACCTATAAAACAGTAAAATGTGTCATTGAGCCAGAAGGAATGTTATTGAAAATTAAATGATTATGAAGGAAATGATATCTAGAAATGAGTGGCTTTGCTAATAATTTTTGTTTAATCACTTTATTGAAACTATAATATCAAATGGATCATAACATAAATAATAATAGCCTTTATTACCTAAAATTTTAAAACCATTTACAGATTTAACTAAGTATGTTAAAAAAGTAATATAGGTACTTATAATTACAAAGTTACAATTTGAGAAAATGAATAACAAAATTATAATATAATGAAATAAAAAAAAAAAACTATACCAGAAAATTGAAAATTCTCCATGAAATACTGAGATGCATCAAAATTGATGTCACACAAATTTGAAATTGAATTGAAATTTTTGTAAATGCTAAGGATAAGTGATTTGAGGTACAAATTGGTTCTAGCCAGTCGGCTGTAAAAAGTTTTTGTACTTCTAGTTCTAAAATGAGGCACACAGAAATTTATAAGAGATAATGCCTCCATAGTATCCACATTGTTGTGCAGTAATTTACACAGAAAAATTATTCCAGCAAGTTTTTTTCGTAATTCAAGACTTTAAATATTGAATGTTATGGTGAGAGATTCATATGAAATATCTCTGAAATATCTCTATCAGGATAGGTACCATAAGATATGAAGTAAATAAACTTTAGGAAACGACATTGAACTTTTTTATTTATGTATTATAGCAATTGTAGAATGGAGACCATAGAATAGAGCCATATTCTAATTTTGACCATACGTAGGCTACATAAAGAGTAAATAGAGCAGATATGTTTGAAAAAGATCTACAATTGCGAACTATAAAGCCGTAAACTCTCAATGCTTCACTTATTTTCGATCTAATGTGGTTGGAAAAAGACAAATTTTTATCAAATTATATACCAAGATCTATAATTGAGTTACTTCGTGACAGTGAAATGGTATCTACTCGATAATTGTACTCGATGACTGACATTTTCCTAATATAAGACGCTACTTTACACTTGGATGCATTGAGATATAGTTTGTTAACTTCACACGAAGTCTATATTTGCTAACAATCGTTGCAATGTATTACAGTCTTCGATAGTTTCGACAGGTAAATATATTTTTAAATCATCTGCAAAAAATAACTTATTACAATCGACATAATTACTGAGATCATTAATAAATAATAAGAATAAAAGTGGTCCGAGATTCGACCCCTGAGGCACTCCAGATGAAGGATTGTAATAAAAAGAATCATAGCCGTTATAAGATACAAACTGTTCACGTTGAAGCAAGTAGGATTCAATGAAAAGTACTGCTGAATTATGGAAACCAAATTGGTGGAGTTTTTGTAGAAAGTTCATGTGATCAAGTCGATCAAATGCTTTAGCAAAATCAGTATATATATAACATCAATAACTAGTCTTATCGGAACCATGTAATATTATTACATAAATGGAACTCTATACAGTAGTACGCATACCACTACAAATTTGGGACAAATATCTAAATTGTTCTAGCCCTCAAATTGTGATCCCGACAAACCACCAGTCGTCAGCAACGATAGTACCTTCTGCTCAGCCATTACTCTTGAATCAGATGCCTACCATGCTCACTACACCAGGTGTACAGTTCATATTGCGGCCTCAAACAGCTACAAAGCTACAGCCTCAAATGCAGACAGCAACTGCTACTCCTCAGGGACTTATATTGCAACCAAGTGGGCAACAGCTTTTGCAAATACAGCCACCGAGATCTCAACCTATGGTTCGTGTTTTGACCAATGGAATGCAGCTAGCCCCATCTACCACAACATACGTGACTCACGTAAGTTAACAATTTAAATGAATCAGTTTGACGTTTTCTTTTTTTTTGATGATTCAGTAAGAAGAATATAAAATAGAAGTATTTTGTTTGGTGTATTTTCAAAATATGACATAATTCACATTTTGATGTTATTTTTGAATCCTCAATTCTGTCGAATCTGGAGTTCAACTTCGGCACTAATTCTTTCATATATATTTTTTTCAAATATCCAAGCTCTTACATAATGAATGTTTTTTACTCCAAGGTGGGTAGCCATCAACAACCAATAAACGCCACAAATCTTGCACAACACCAAGCCATACTGAACCATACACAACAGCAACAGCAACAGCAGCAGCACCACCAGAATTTGATGCAACAGCAACAACACATTAAAAAGAAACCGAAAAACAAAGTGAAGAAGAAATTAGATTTGGCAAACATTATGAAACTTTCTGGTATTGGTGATGAAGATGATATTCAGTTTGAAAGTGATACATCTCAGAGTGAAAGTGAACCAACATCAGTTCCTACTACTCCTCAGCCACAGCAAATGGTTCACAGTAGCTCAGTTCAGGCACAGAATTTCATACATTCAGATGCCAAAAAGAATATTCAGAATATTCAAATTTCAGCAGTGGCACCACCTTCAATCAACACAGCTACTCCTGTTGTTCAGGTAAGTTATTTTTTGTCAAGCATAGGTAGGTCTAGATTTCTATTCCCTGAAATTATAAAAATGTGTAACCTAGAAGTAAAAATTGGGAAATATAAACTGTTTAGACCAATTGTTTAAAGAAATGAAGGTAAAAGAGAGTATTTCATTGAAAGATTCGAATGACATGAAAACTTAATAGTCGGTGGTTTCTTTATATGGCATGGGCGGCGTAGTTAATTTTTTTTTCAAAATTGATTTGATTTTTCATAAACCTACACGATTTTAGGTTAGTAGTAAAGAGTACAGTAGTTCATTAGTCTTTTATTCAGCTGTTCAGATTGATATCATCGGACATCATCGACACACACGTATTGTTCAAAGTCCTCGATTGTTATGGGTAACTGATGCCTATCGATAGCCCTCGCCCAAATGCTCAGCGATACGTCGTCTTCATTGTTAAAATCATCTCATTTCATTTCATTTTTATTTGTCTCAAGAAAATTTTACATTTTATAGACACGTCCAAACCTTAACCCAAATAACTAAAGATAGATGATAGTATAATTTGTAATCCTGGGAATATAATCGAGGTTGAATAATTGTTATATGGGATATTGAAGAATAAAATACATACATACATACATACATACAAGATAAAATACATTTTGAGGGATGACTAAAATATGAATATATAAAATGTAAAATGTATGTATATATAAAACGTAAATGTAAAAAATATATGAAGTATGATGTATAAAATGTAAAAAAATATATGTAACGTGAAATGTATAGAATGTCAAATGAAATATAGATAAATGTATGAATTTATACCGTAACAATAAAATGGGAAATTATATTCAATTACTGTGATTATCCATGAACAAATGATGATTTTCAGTGAGTAAATTCTTGGAAGTTGTAAATACAGTTACTAGTTACAGTTACTGCTACTACTACATTTCAATTTGTATTTGAATTTTTTTGGAGGTAAATCTCGAAATTGAGATGGTAAGTTGTTATAGAGTCCAATATCAATTTTGGTGTTTTTTTGCAGCTTTGTTTTTGGTTCAACTATTCTGGTTTTGAACCTTGTATCATGTTCATGTATCTCTTCATGAATTTCATAGCATTCACTATTATTTTTAATATATATTAGTTTGTGGTATATAATTAAGACATAAACAGTCATTACTTCTAGTGCCGGAAATAAAGGCCTACAATTAGCCTCCCAATTTGACTTTGTAATACATCTTACGGCAGACTTTTGTAAAATTAGTAGTTTAACTATGTGTGTTTGAGCTGCTTTACTCAAAGATAAAGTAGCATACTGAAGGTGTGAATGGAATAGGCAATAATAAGAAATTAACGCTGCTGTTTGATTTACAAGGTCTCGAACTTTTTTAATAGCAAAAACAGCCTTGGAGAGTTTAGTACACAAAAAATTCACATGTTGTGACCACTGGAGATTACTGTCAATTTGTACACCTATAAATTTCACATTTCCATACATTCCTTCCTGATTAGCAGAATTATTTGGCCTACAATCAAATTTTAGGCTTACTGTTTTACTCTCATTCAGTATGCATTCATTGCTGGCGAACCATGTAATTGCTTGTTTTCTGAAATCATCCTGGGCTATTTTGAGATCTTCATCCTTTGTGATTGTGACTATTCACTGATTGTGAATGTAGTGTCATCTGCGAAGAGTACACATAATCTGTTACGTGCAGCCATATTATAAGGTGGATCATTAATATAAATGAGGAACACCAAAGGTCCCAAGATTGAACCTTGAGGTACTCCCCTTTCAATTTGTAGGAATTAACTTTCATCATTGCACTCCACTTGCTGTGTTCGTTTGGTCAAATACGAAGTGAACATTTGTTCACAGGTTCCACGAATGCCATAGTAGCTCATTTTGTTTAATAAAGTTGAATGATTGATTGAATCAAAGGCACATGTAAGATCCGTGAAGATACCCCGACATTGTCTGTTTTTGTCAAAACTTTCTTCAATAAATTTGGTAAGGGACAAAAGGGACGAAAAATATCAAATTGTTGATCTAGGAAATACCAAAAGTGAAAAAAGAAAAATATTAAGAGGAGTGCCACAAGGGTCAATATTGGGGACACTTCTGTTTCTGATATATATCAACGACCTACCTCACGTGATGAACTCGTCAGGCATAGAAACTATATTGTATGCAGATGATGCAACCTTGGGCAAAAAATATATAAACTAGATGATCCTCATATGATCCATACTGACATATTAGAGACAGCTCGATCATGGTTCACACCAAATGACTTGATTCTCAATGAACAAAAAACAGAAACTCTAACTTTTGAAATAATTTGCTAAATCGAGATAACAAAAATTCTACCAAATTTTTGGGAATACAAATAGATTCCAACCTGAAATAGATAGACCACGTAAATAACATGTGTAGTAAACTTAGTAAGACGGTTATTGCTATCAGAAGAATCAAAAAAAATAGTAAATCAAAGTGCGGCACTTGCAACATATCATTCTCTATTTCATTCAGTCGTTAGGTATGGTATAATCAATTGGAATAATGCATCAAAGGTACATCTTAATAGAATATTTGTCATTAAAAAATCTGCAGTAAGAAGCATAATCTCTGCCAATTATGATGAAAAGTGTCGACCAATATTTGTAAAACTTAAAATTATGACCCT